CCCAACAGCTCTTTACAAACTCATTACAAAGATCTGTACTGCTTATATCCTGCTTTTTCTGTTCAAAACAGACTGGGTAATGGTAGAGGTAGTGCTTCTAAAACTATTTAAGTTAACCCTCCCCCAAATAATTCCCCCCTCCTTTATTTTTTTTTCCTTTTGGAAAATTGGTCAAAGATTTTTGTGGTTGAATCAAAGAACAGATCTCAAAAGCTGTGGAGGTTACGCCCTCAGAGAAGGTTGTTTTGAAGCATGTTTTCAACCACGGCAACTTCCAGGTATGGGGACTTCAACTCCCAGAATGCTCAGCAATGGCCAGGCAGGCTGAGGCATTCTGGGACTTGAAGTCCACACACCTTCCAGTTACCAAGGTTGAGAAACACGGATCTGGATGAAGAGGTTCATTGAATGTGTTAGGTAATTTTTTGGTCTGATTTGAAATGTGGATATCCCATGTGCCAAAGCTTGAATCTGAAAGATGTAGATTTTAAACACTTAAAAGTTAAAGAACTGGACCATGGAATTCTGGTGGATGCTCCATTCAGACTTGGGGCAAACATGTTTGCTTATTTTCAGATGTCAGCAAAACTTGTGTCGGGAGCCGGGATGAAAAGAGCTGCCACTGTAACCCGGGATTCGAAGGAAGTGGTGTGCATTGTGTTGGTAACTTTTGAGCTTTGTTTCTTGTAGCCATGTGTGTGTGTGTGAGCAATTCTAAGAATGGAAATCTGCCCTGAGCAATGGTTAGTGAACAGGTTTTGTCCTCTCTCCTTCCAGTTTGGGGGGTGTTGATGGTGATAATCTGGAAATAAACATAAACAGGAGGAGATCCTGACTGGTTATAAGAGGTGTAATTTTTCTCTTTCTCTCCTCTTCCTCCTCCTTCCTTCCTTCCTTCTCCTTCTCTTTCTCCTTCTCTCCTCCCCTCCTTCCTTCTCCTTCCCTCCTTCCTCCTCCTCCTCCTCCTCCTCCTCCTCCACCACCACCACTCCTTTTCCTCTCCTTTTTTCCTCCAAAGATGTAAATGAGTGCGAGAGAAAAACAGCTCTGAAGTGCCTGGCTGAGGCAGAGTGCATCAACACGTACGGATCGTATTTCTGTCGCTGTCCCAAGGGCTTAGAAGGAGATGGCCTACTCAGCTGCATAGGTAGGGCAGATGTCAGTTCTCATTTGCAGGCTGCGGTTGGGTGAGGTAGTGAAGCGTAGCTGATGTATGTACGGGACACGCTTCTCAGCAGAAGGTCCATCTTGGGATAAAAGGCCATAAGGAAGCAATGGACTTGTTGGGCGGTGAACTTCTCCAAAGGGGGTCCTCCATACCTCGTGGTCCCCCAGATGGGCACCACCAATTAGGCCAGGCCCCATGGAGATCACCTTCCTCAAGGGCCCTTCCAAATCCTGCAGTTGAGACAGTCCAGAGGAGCCAGCTCACAAACTCTTTTATGAATTTGGGGAGTTGAAGTCCAACCATCTTAAAGTTGCCAAGTTTGAAAAACACTGGCCTAGATGCTGTCGTGTTCAGGGTCATCCATAAGGGGGGGTGTTAAAAAGTCATAACAGCATCCACAGCTGTGTGATTGAAACCCTTTCCCGTGTGTTTAAAAGGGGCAGGACCTTGATCATGTGACTGGGTGCCATTTTGACTGTTTTGACTTCTCCCCAGGATGCTTCTGCCTGGGCCATGACCTTGGACCGTCTCAATGTGTCTGCTTTATTTTATGTCTGGTTTTCTTCTTCCTAGACATCGATGAATGTACTAGAGGCACTCACAGCTGCAACCGAGGCGCGCTCTGTTTGAACACCCTGGGCTCCTACATTTGCGCCTGCCAGAGCGGGTTTGTCGGCGATGGCTTGCACTGTAAAGGTGATCAGCTGGTGTAAATTTCCGTAGGGTGGGGAAAAGCTTCACCAAAGGGTCCAAGCACATATCCCCTAGCAGCGTGCAAACGTCAAAATCCTGCCACGCAGGTTGTTCCCTAGCAGTTCATCTTCAGAGGTAGACTGCCTCTGTACATGAAGGTTCTCTTCAGTGGAGACATAGCCCCTGACAATTCAAGCCTTGTTGCCTCATGTGGCAGTGAATTCCACATGCTCGCCAAGGGTTAAGACGAGCAGATCTTTTCTTTTGTGGGCTCTGAGCTCCCCTGGTTTTGTTGGGCGGGTCCAAACTGTAGCATTGTACAATACGACTAAGATTATAATTCATATTCTTATTATAAATTATAAAATTCTTCTACAAAAGGAGGCCTTTTGCTAAACAAGGCAAAAATTCCCATGCGGGTAATCCATTGGGGTGGCATACAGGAAGTGGGTGGAGCCCAAGACAAAAGTGGGTGGGGCTAAGATAAAGTAGGAGGAGCCAAAGGGAGGAATCTAGCACATTGTGGGCTAGACTGACACAAGAGCTTCAGAGCTGAGAACAGATTTGAACCCAGCCTCTCCCCAATCCAGTTCATTCACACAGAAGGGTACAATGCTGATTACCTGCACCCCATGAAACTTTCCCAAAAGGTGCCCCACACAGTGATCTTTAGCATCAAAAGACATTAAACTCCTGGCGAGTCCTCCTGTTGCATGGAGAACATTTAACTACGTGGTCGCTAGGCATTGGCCCTGACTTGATGGCACATGATCCATCAATCAATCAATCAATCAATCATCCTATTAACTGAATTGGATTGGGTTGGATTGACCTGGAAAT